TATTACTGGCCAAAAAGGTGAAATTCGACCACAAATCAGCCAGAAATTGGCCAAAAATCAACTACAAATTGGTAGTTAATTGGTAAATTTTGGTCAAATTCAGATTGATTCAGCCAAAATAATTGATCTAGATTCGACCCAAAAAACACTAGAAAAAAAATTTAAGTGGCTGATTATAGGCTGATTGTTTAAATTAGTAGTTGATTTTAGGTCGAATGCTTAATTTTAATATTCGACCTAAAATCGGTTACTGTGTTTAGGCTGAATATTATAAACATTCAGCCTAAATTCAGTAACTGATTTTAGGTTGAATATTAAAATTAAGCATTCGATCTAAAATCAACTACCAATTTAAACAATCAGCCTATAATCAGCTATCTAAATTTTTTTCTAGTGTTTTTTGGGTCGAATCTAGGTCAATTACTTTGGCCAAATCAACCTGAATTTGACCAAAATTTACCAATCAACTACCAATTTGTAGTCAATTTTTGGCCAATTTCTGGCTGATTTGTGGTCGAATTTCACCTTTTCGGCCAGTATATATAATGTATCAGTGAGAAGGCTTTAAGAAAATATTAAGGCATTTAAGTAATAGAAATGATCAGCTAGAATTTTCTCAAATATATATGAGGGAAATATATGAAAAAACTTTGCTATAAATCCAGATAATCCAAGTTCATTTTTTACAAAAGGAAAATTGGATACACATATTGGTCTAGATATTAATATCGATTGGTTTCAACCTTTTGATTATATAGTTCATAGTACTATAGTAATTTACGGAGTTTTATGTAATTTAACACGTGAAGCACAATTTAAGCTGAACAATATTTTAATATTAGGTATCATTCCAGAACAAATAAACCTAGTAAGCATCAAATAAACAATTACCTAGCACCAATAGTTGATGAGTTAATTGAACTATCCTCAGGAATAAAACTACTAGCAACTTTTATATATAAAGAAGGACAAAGAATTTATATAGACTAATATTATCAGCTAATGATGTTCCTGCTGCAAGAAAAATTTGTGATTATGCAAGTCATGCAATAAAATGTCATTGTTGCCCAAAGTGTGCAAGATATGACTGTGAAACCAAAAGAAATCATTATGGTGGTTTTGAAAATATAGATAAATGGTTTAATTCTGTAGATATATCACAAAATTTTAAAGCAGCAAATGAATAGTTAGCTTGTAAAAATAAAAAAGAACGAGATGATCATATAAAAAGAACTAGAATAAGATGATTAGAACTATATTGGCTGAAATATTTTGATCCAGTTAAATTTATAGTAGTCGATCAAATGCATTGTCTATTCTTAGGTATTGGCAAGTAGATAATGAAGCAATATTTATTAGATAATAATAAACTTAGTAGAGACCAACTTATAATAATCGAAAAGCATATGTCAAATGTAAAAGTTCCATCAGAAATCAGACGTATTCTATCAAAAGTCGCATGTGGATCAGAAGGATTTAATCGATTTACAGCAGATCAGTGGAGGGTATTTTATCAATTATATGCTATTCCATATATGTAGAATATACTAGAGCTTGAAGATAAAGAAATAATTTTTAATTTTGTCTGTACATGTAATTCATTAATAAACCAAATAGTCAAGCAAAGTGATCTAGATGAAGTACATACTAGGCTGATAAACATGGCAAAGTTAATTGAGGAACATTATGATCAACATATGATAACATCAAATATTCACTTGTCTTTTCATATAAGACAATGTTGTCTGAATTATGATCCACTATATGCTTATTGGTGCTATTCTTTTGAGTAGATGAATAGCCTATTAAGAACCTACTCCACAAGTAATCAGTCTATTGAATCTGAACTTATGTGCATTCTAATGAAAAATGTATAAGTAGAATTTAGAATAAATTCTGTTGATATGGGTGAGGCTAAATAATTATTAAATCAAGCTCTTTCTCTTTTAAATAAAAAAGTGCGTAAAAGCTTAAAAATGACTGAAAACTTTGAGTGTGAGAATTGGTAGATTATCTGAAGATGGCATATAAAATTAATAATATTAATATAATCACTGGTACAGAAAAATATCTGGGTGAGATAATCGGAAAGATAATGAGAATGTATATACTCCCAATGAATTTTATCAAAATTTAATAAATTATTATTCTACACTATCTAAAGAGCTTTATGGTGATCTTTATATAACTGAGCCAATATCAATAGAACGAGCTGTTATCCAGTTTGAAAGATTAAAAATTGGTGCAGAAATATATAGATCGAAGATTGCCCCTAGATATGAAAATTGCTTATATATTAGAGTAAAGTTCATAGCTTATTAAGACAGTTCTGTAGATATATATCTGGAAAAAATACAATTCTTTTTTCAATATAAATATGATAATAATATATACTATCTAGCATATGTTCAATAGTATTGACTAGATAACATGCATCATTTTTACTTATCATTAAAAGAAGATAGTTGATGTAATATAGAAATTTGGCAAGAAAACTTTTATAAAGAATCAATAGATTGTATAATACCCATACAAAGGATATTAGGACGATTCATACCTTCTTCGTATAAATTTAAAAGAGGTAATAATCTAAGAAAAGTATTAGTAGTAATCTCAACAAATAAACATTTTAATATATAAATAGACAGATATTTTAATAATTTATATATTATTAGACCGATGATGTATTGATATTAATTAATAAATAAATATAATATAAATAAATATTTTATAAATTTTATTAACAATATTTAGATTAATATTAATTTATATAGAGTTAATTTATATAGTCATGTAAATATCATCATGAAATCTAAATAAACTCAAACTATCAAGGTAGCGAAATAAGAAAATTAAAGCACATATCAAAATATTGGCCATGATTAAGTTTTTCAAAAATAATTAATTAAATTGGTAAATCATCATCGTTAAATTAATAAAATCATACAACAACCGTTCTAATCATCATATATCATTTTAATATCTAGATTTTAATAATAATTTATATAGTTGTGTAAATAACATCATGAAATCTAAATAAACTCAAACTATTGGGTAGCGAAATAAGAAAATTAAACACATATCAAAATATTGGCCAGGATTAAATTTTTACAAAAATAATTAATTAAATCAGTAAATCATTATTATTTAATTAATATAATCATAAAACAATTGTTCTAATTATCACATATCATTTTATTATCTAGATCTTTAATGATAATTTATATAGTTTATACTTTTGTATAATCTTTGCTTTGTAAGAGGATTAAATTAAATTTTAATAAAGACAGAGACATGTTTTCACTATTAACATTTAAAAAAAAAAGATAATTTATATAGTCATGTAAATATCTTCATGAAATCTAAATAAACTCAAACTATCAGGTAGTGAAATAAGAAAATTAAAACACATATCAAAATATCAGCCAGGATTAAGTTTTTACAAAAATAATTAATTAAATTAGTAAATCATCATTGTTTAATTAATATAATCATACAACAATTATTCAAATCATCACATATCATTTTAATATCTAGATCATTAATATAGTCTTATAAATATCATCAAGTTATTTAATTAATCGTTAATCTATTTTATAATAACATTCGTTAGTTTTATGAAGATTTTTTTATTCATCATAATATCTGTTTTTTATTAGGACTTTAATTTAAAATACATTTAAACTTTTGTCTATCTGTAGGCCGATATTTTGTTGATTATATTATTTATTTGAATATCTTATACCCAATTTTATGATTTTTGATTTTATACATTTCATCTTAATATCGGCCTATTATATTAAAAATTTTTGACTAGTGTATAAACCCTGCCTTTTCCTCAAAGCAAGAGAACAGTTGATTTTCATATTTTAATCACTATAACCTTGTTATTATATACTTTAGTTTTGGAAATAGGTCTCATTTTTATTTTTGTTATAACTTTGTATTAAGAATAAGTCCTATTATTGGTATTTTTATATTATTTTTATTGGGAATAAATCTCTTTTCTATAATATTTTTCTAGAAATTATTATATTTTTCTTGAGTTATACTGTATATTTGTTTTATCTGTGTTATTCTTTTGAATATTATCTAAGTTAATAAATCTATCTTTTGTCTATAAAATTGTTGGTTATAACTTTTTTTTTGTGAGTATCGCTATAGCAATAAGTTGACAATATTTTATTTTATCTATAAACTGTTTTCTTCTATAAATTATATAAACACATTTCTTAACTACTCGAACACTTAATCAAGTAAGGTAACTTGCTAACCAAAAGGTCTAACTAATTACATTACAATATTAGCTAAATTTTTAAATTGGCCTTTTTATATATATAAAAAATAAAATCTGTATTTGGTTACTAAAAATTTTTATTGGTTAAAACTAGGTATCTGCACTATATTATCTTTTATTTTAATTATTTTTTATTTTTTTAATTAGCAAACTATATTATTTTTAGTTTATTTTTAATTTTTAGAAATTATTTTTGATAATTTTGTTATATATATACTGTATATATTACTATATTTATATAACTTCAAATCTATTTTTTTAATATTTTAATAAAAATTTATTATATTAAAATAATATGATAAAACTAAAAATAATTTAGATAGTAAAATGATTTTATTTAAAATTTAAAATTGATTTAAATACAGTAATAAAATTTTGTATAAAATATATTTTTTAAATAAATATATAGTATATATACTGTATACTATATAATCTAATTTTAAATATAGTACTGTAAAATTATCAAATTGATAACCAAAATTCAATATAACTAAAATAGTAATATTTTATACAAAGATTAAATTTTTTATTTTTATAGTAATTGGAGAATTTTTATAATTTGTGATTATATCAAGTGTAAGAAAAATGTGATAGTAACAATTTTTATATAGATATATTATACAAATAATATAAAAAAATCTGGTGATTATATTGATTTTGCAACGCCAAAGTTTACGTCAATATTATTAAATATCGATGTAATATGTCCTTAGAAAAGACCCCATTATATGTATCATGTAAATTAGTACTTTATTTACGCATGATGGCCATGCAAATTCGTAAACCCGCGCCAAAACATCTATCCTGTGATTTCAATCAAATATGTACATTGTAACCTTGCGCCTAACGCTAAATCCAAAATCTCCCGTTTCTTGCTTGTTAATATTTACTAAATTGTAATAATTGCGTCAATATATGTATTTTATATTATCGCTTGAATAAGTTATATTCACACGCCGAAACCTTGTAGAAAAGTTATAAATTGAACATAGCTTTTAAATTTTTCACATCAAATTACCACAAAAAAAAAGAAAAACGAACATCTAATAATTCAAATAAAAAAAAAAATCGAAAATGAAGGGACCTCTTAAAGTTACCGTTGGTAAATATCAATTTGCAAAATCAAGAATTTAGAATTTTTTCGCACGTTAATATTTTTTTCTTTAATAGTTGAAGCCAAAGACTTGAAAGATGAGGACATTATAGGAAAAAGTGATCCTTATATTGAACTCTGGCTTGACAAAAATTACAAACAAAAGACTACAACCAAGAACAACACAGTGAACCCAACATATAACGAAACTTTCACCTTGTAACTATCTTCATAAATTTTATTAACAATTAAATTAATGGCCATCTAATAATTTCAATAATAATTATTTTTTCATATAGCAATTGCGACGGCCACAAACACCTTCATGTCAGAGTAGTGGATAAGGACATGGTTTCGGATGATGAGGTAATTATTATTATTATTGTTCGTTTAAATAACTAAAGATATTCATAATTTTTTTTATTAATAGATTGGCGTAGGTAAAGTCAGTCTTAGCAACATCCATAATGGTTATGCTGATGAATGGGTTAATCTGCCTGCTATGCTTGGTTTGATGAGCAAAGGAAAAGTTCATTTGATTTTGGAAACTGCTGGATAATTGTTTTTTTTCACTATTACCAACTTTGTTTTTTTTTTTTTTTCATGAAACAATATTGTAAAAAAATAAAATTTGGGAGGCTATTTTCATTATTCAATTTATTTGTAAAGTGTTTTGAATTGTATTAACTGGCAATAAAATTTCTACAATGTTTTAAAAAATATGTTTATAAACTTTGATTAAAATTAAAAAAAAAAAGAGTTTGCTCGAAATTTTGTGTAAATGCAATCCATAACCTGCTTAATCACTTAGTCTTGTCTGATCATCCACAGACAGCGAGGATATGAACGGGAATAGGAAGCTTGGGTAGCCTAACTTTTTAGAATCGTTAAATTATCCGATCATCGAAAATTTCGAACATATGAATAAGTTTTCGGTCAAAATTAAAGTTTGGCCGTGTTTAGGTTACTAAAAGAATTTTCTATACGTTAAATGTTTTAACTACTTTATTTACCTTAGATGCATGAAAAGGGCTTTGCCACATGTTTATTGTAATCCAATTAGATTTCTCCTCTATAATCACCTATATAATCACAAATTCTATATAATCTCACTTATAAAAAATACTTCTGTATATGGAATTTTTATAATCACATATTTTACAAGCTGTGATTATAGAGAAGTGCAATTTGTTTTTTTTTTTTTTAAAAAAAAACAACCGAAATGTTATTTATGAAATCATCTGCGCACAAAAAAAAAACAATTCTGCAAAATTTTGAAATAATATGCGCCTTGTTCTAAGCCTGATTCTAACCTTAATGATAAGGTTTATTATTTGAATGAAATCTTTTCACTTAATTTTGACTTAATTTTCACGTCATATTCTTGAAATCCGATTTGTTTACATATCGGAAAATTTTTTGCGGTAACATTTAGCGTCTTCGCAAATCTATTAATTTTTACCTGCATTAACGTTAATTTTTGTAGCCCTAAGTAATTTCGTATAATTTACGTAAAATATGATTCTTTTTTCATTGTAAACGACTGTAATGCAGGTTAAAATCTATGTATGGTTAAAGAAAAAAAGAATATTAAGGAAAAAAAATTATCATAAACTTTTATATAAGTACCGTTTACTTCGTCATAATACGTACCCGCATTACCTTTATAATCATTCCCAAAAATGTATAATTTATTTTTATATTCGTATCGGAATAAGTAAAGACGACCAAATATCAATTATAAATTATACTATTCTTACCATAGATTTTTGCTATTCATACCATGGATAACTTTAAAAAAAGTGATAAAAATTTTTAGAAAGTCACATTTTCGAATGACAAACGAAATCGATCATTTTTAGAAAAGTAGATTTTCGGAAATTTGTTACAATGCAGGAGGTATCGGATGGTTTTGTTGCGCCATCTAGAAATCATGTCACGAAATCATGAAATATCATCATTGCTAATGATAATTGAAACAATCAATAAAAAAATTTTTTTTTAACTAAATCATGAAACAGATACTAAACATATTTAGTAGTTGATCGATGGGCGAGAAAAAAAAGATGAAAGCATAAATTTTAAATAAGAACATAAAAGGTAAGATTAGGAATGGGAATTTTGTGTAAGTACTTACACGACATGATAGCGGATATTTTAAAAAATGATACTAACTGTATATAGTATATAATAATAATAATAAGAATGGCGTTTATGCAAGTAACCAGATAAGTTAATTTTAAATAGATGTTAAAAATTTTCTTTACGTGAGAAATATTCTGATTTCGTTATTAAAAAAGAAAAAAAAGAAAACGCGATCTTACCAAAGAAAAAAAAATAATCAATTTTTTTAATAATGCCTTCTGGAGAACTTAAAGTTGTTGTTGGTAAATATTGACTATTTATTTTATTTTTAATGATATTTCGAGTTTAACAATAAAATTTTGAATAACTATCCAGTGAGTGCTAAAGACCTGCCAAACAAAGATGAGAAAGGTAATAAACAACTATGATTCTTCAAAGTGAAAATTAAAAAATCAAGCAATATTTACTCATTTTTTGTAACCCAATAAACAAAAAAATTTTTCAGGAAAAAGTATGCAAATTTTTGTATCATAATCGTATCAATTATTTTGATTTTTCATTTGTTTAACTTTATTTTGTTGCAACCATAACGAAAGGTGATCCCTATGTAAATGTTTACATTGAAAAGGGATATGTTCAGAAAACACGGACCATACCTGGTGACTTATCACCGGTTTGGAATGAATCGTTTACATTGTAAGTTACGAAATTTCTTTTATTTTTCATGTAGAATAATACTAAAGTACACCAATGATACCCAAAATCATATATTTTATTATTAAAATTTCGGATTAGAAGTTAAAATGGAGCGTCAGATATGAGACGTTATATCGATACAGCATGTACGTGTCGATAACGTCCCTCAGATACAAAATCATTTTGAGATTTAGTAATTGATGTTAATATAAGTGTTGCATAGTGAAAACCTCTAACTGATCGTAATAAATAATTAAAATGCGTTATGAGTTTTTATTCTGCAACACTCAAATATCTCAAATATCATTGGTGTTTTAGTAAGCTTATTCAAGTTTATTATTCAAAATCTAACTACATATATCTTCAAAGTCAAGTAGAAGATGGCAAACATAAACTTTACCTTGATGTTTATGATTCTGATGAAGGAAAAAAAGATGATAGTGTAAGATTTTACCTATTTCTATTCTAATCAGTTATTCTTTTTTTTTTCATTATATTCAAATTTATTTTGTTAATAAATAGTTGGGCAGCGCAGTTGTTGAACTTAAAGATGTATTCGCAAAAGGAAAAGACGAAAAGACTGTATCATTATCATCATCATCATCAATCTTTTCTTCTAAAAAAGGAGACATCACTGTTAAATTGGAATTTACTAAGAAATAAAATTTCGTGATTGTCTAAAATGTTGTAGGATCTTGTATAAAAAATATATATATTCATTATAATTGTATCGGTTCTCTATACAAGTTCTTTTTTGTTTTTTTTTTTTTGTTTTTTTTTTTTTGAAGATAGCCGTATTTTACTTAACTAAATCGATCTAATGCTGTGGAAAGTTTTAAATTTGAGCTGCGCAAACAAAAGTGTAATTATTAAATAATTATTAAATAAAATTTGGACAATTCAGAGAACCTAAATAAACATACCAAAAGTCTAAATGAATCGTTAATATTCAATGTTGGTAAATGGAGCTTTATTAGCATAGAGTGGAGCAATAGAACATTTTCTCTTATATAATTTTTTTTTCTAAATAAATTTTGCAATTAACCATATAATTGAATTAAAAACTATATAATCATATATTCATAATAAATTAGTAAAGTTTGATGTTAAAAATTTTCCAATGAAGAAACGGAGCAACGACTGGTGCAAGTAAAATTTCTTAATGGAGTACCCAAAATGCCAACACTATTAATTTCTGCTATTAAACTTACTATAGTAGTGCACAATATATAAATTAGATGTTATATTTTTAATATATTAAAATTTACAAATGTACTAACCAACTCATTACCAACTCGTTTATATTTAGTTTACGTGCGATCACCACCACTAGATTTTTGTACACCAGCTCTAGCAGATTTAGCACGTTCTCTGAATTGTTCAAAAGTTCCTTTGGTAGCAACTTTGATTCGATCAACAATACTGTCAATTGAATCCAAAGCTGGTCTTACGTCAAGATAAAATATTGGCGTGTCGCCTTCATCTGGACCAGAATAATAATCAATTACATATCGAACTTCTTTACCACATCTATCTATCGTCCAGTCGTGACGATCAAATGGTGGTGGTGTACTAATGAAAAAAAATTGTGATGTATATTATTAATGTCAAGAATTATTTATTTAAATAATTATTTCAAGAATTATTTCAAGAATTAATTCTAGAATTATTTCGAAAATTATTTTCGAGAATTAATTAATCCAAGAATTATTTCAAAATTCGAGAATTATTTCAAGAATTAATTCGAGAATTATTTCAAGAATTAATTCGAGAATTATTTCGAGAATTAATTCGAGAATTAATTCGAGAATTATTTCAAGAATTAATTCGAGAATTAATTTCGAAAATTATCATAAAAAAATTTCATGTAGATAAAGTCAAGAAAACTAAAATTATGCATTGCTTTAATATTTTCAAGAATTATTTCGAAAATTATTTTCAAGAATTATTTCAAGAATTAATCCAAGAATTATTAATTCAAGAATTATTTCGAGAATTATTTCGAAAATTATTAAAAATTTAGTTACCCTAATGAAGGGAATAATTTTCCTGCCCATTGAAGCAACCGAGCTTTTGGACTAAGTTCTTGAGGTCGTCCACGAAAGCGTAATAACTTTGGTCCATCACATGGACTTGAAAACAAAAAGTAAAAACGAGGTATTAATAAATTTTTAGATATGTTAAAAGTTGAATGATTTAAATTAATAGTCACAAGAAAATTACTTCACATAAAAATATAAAATTGTTTGAACGACAAATAAATTTATTACATACCATTTTTTCATCCGTTCCCATTTAAGGATTTCGTTCCAAGCTTCTTCATTTAAAAAATTATGTATATCTACCATTGTTTCAATACTTTCTTCTGGAGTATCCCATCCTTTACGAACCAATGCATTATAAAATTGTTGTGGAGAAGGATATACCCAATTATCAGAACTATGAGCTTTAGGAATAGAAGAAATAACTCTAGATGTTGGAAGTGGAATTTGTTGGCCAGGCATTTGATGCTGGCCAAGTGTTGGCATTTGATTATCTGGAGAAAGAGCATCACCAGAATGAACTATCGGATTAGTTGTTTCTGAAGTATTATTTGAAGAATTAGGACATTTAGATTGAGAGGATGATTGATCGGACGTTTGAGAATTTTTTTTATGTATAGGACATCCTGATGGGACTGTTGTTTGTTTAGACATTTTTTTTTATTAAAAATAAATATTTAATTTATAGATTTAAGGAATAGGGGAAATCTTAACGTGATGCAGTTCAAACGAAAAATGGAAAACATATATAAGTACATCACGAGCTGCATGTAAAAAAAAAAAAAAAAAAAATTGGATAATCTACACATGACCATGAGTCATTTTTGTACACAAAAAAAAAAAAAAACTGATTTATAATTTTTCCAGATATCGATCGTTTAAAAAATACGTATCACATAACAATATGAATTAAACCTTCTTTCAAACTACTGTATTTACTTTCTTGTCGATAAAAAAAAATTTATTAGCCTATGCAAAATTAATTAGCTAACCCGGCCGGGTCAAAGTTTGAAAACTTGCAAAAAAAATTATTTATTAGTTTTACAGCTGTTATCATTATTCTTGGGACACCTGGTGAAAAATTAACCGAATGATTATTCTGCTGATTCGATAAGTTATTGATTTTGGTATGATCAATGTAACGTTTATTATTTACAAAGATGGTCTAAAGTCAGGTACGTACGTACGTAGATGCTAATCGATTTGTAAGGCTTTAAATGACCTCTATTTATAATGCAGCAGTGAAAATTATTAATCGATAATGACCAGATAACCAATATCGATATAACTCTAGTTAAGTATTATACTTTAGAAGCACATTCACTAGAAAGTAGTCGAAAAAAATTTAGAAGGGTTATAAATTCGAACAACTGCTAAACACTTAGGTGTTAGCAGATCTTCAATAAATCGAGTTTTCAACCAATTTCAAAGATATGGATGCGTAGTAAGAAAATCACGTCTATTAAACCTGAATTATACAAAATATCTTAAAGACTTTAATGGAAGAAAAGCCTAACTGATATTTGTATGAGTTACAATTAAAAATGGAACTTTAGTTAGGACGTGAAAGTAGAGATCGTTTGAAGCCTTGTATTTACAAATCGATTAGCACCTTCGTACGTACCAGGCTTTAGACTATCTTCGTAAATAATAAACATTACATTGATCATGCCGAACTCAATAATTTATCGAATCGGCAGAATAATCATTCGGTTAATTTTTTCGTAAGGTGTCCCAGGAATAATGATAACAGCTGTAATAACCGGGTGAGTTTTTAAGAAATTTTTAAAAAAAATTTATAAAATTTTTATATATGAAATTTAAAAAAAATAAGCCGGCCGGCCGGGTCTGTTATAATATGAAAACCAAGATATTAAATTTGTGTGGCTTTAGAACGTTTATTTAAATTTATTGCTTAACATTCTCATTTATCCATTTCAAATAAGGGCCATTTCCACCATCAACCTATTAAAATTGCAAAACTCAATATTTTATAATGAAAAAAAAAATCTTATTAATTTTTCGATAATAGGTAATTACCTTTACTGAAAGAACTTCTGGTACACTATAACCATGATTTTTGTTTACGTAATCTGTTATTTCTCCAAGATGCTAAAGCAAAAATGAATGTTAGATAATAAACAAATAGAACGATCTTTTAGAAAATTGATAAATAAATTATAAACCTTATCCAAGGTTTTAATCATTAGCAAAAGCTCAGAAGATTCTTCAATTTTGCCATCCCACCCTAATCATGAACGTGTGAGAATGAATAGAATATAGGGTGAATAGGGTGAATGATACAATACAATATAAAATAAAATAAAATATGACAACTAAATAAGATAAATAACTAAATATGATTAAGTGATGATACTCACAATAGAGTGAAGAGATCTTTGGAATTATATTTACGCAGGCGACCAGTTTTTCTTCTAAAAGACCTTTAAAAAGTTGAAATTAAACATCTTGCCTTCTTTTTTTTCAATGAATGATTTATCAAGTAAATACCTCGAGCCAATTTCTTGGCAACTTCGTCATCAGGGCAAGTAACATAAACTATTCGTTCCGTCGTACCTCTAACAAAATTGCATTGTTCACGTTGCGACATTAATATTGGTATCGAGCTAGGTGCTGTACAAGCAAAAGTAGTCAAACGATGATGTAGGTTATGAAAGATGTAGCGTCTGGCTAAAAAAATTGACATCGCAATAAAATTTTAGATCAAAAAGTTAGACCACATTTTGTACAGAATAATCTTAAAATCGTTACACAATTACAATTCTGCATTTTGTACAATGTTAGTAATTTCTATCAACCTCCCAAAAAAAGAATAGTAAATTCTTCAATGCTGTACAAACCAAAAAAGAAAAAATTATGCTCATTTGAGGAGTTAGATTGGGGAGTGAGTGACTCGAACACCCAGCCTTCCGCTCTGGAGGCGGACGCGCTGCCATTGCGCCAACCCCCCATTTATTTGATTTTGATGGCCATCTTTCATTATTTTTTCATTATGCATTGACAATAATATTTTGCAAAGCAATTACTGTACGTACGTAATAATAATATGATAATTCTGATTAATCTAATGAACGAAGTATTGGGATTATTAGTAATTATTAATGCTGTAGCATTATGGGAAGACATTCATATGATTGGTTAATTTTGTAAATCTACCCGTGATTACCCGTGAAATTAACCAATCAAATTACATAATTTTTAAAGTAATTTATCGTTTTAATACTATTAGAAACGAAAAAACTTCGTATAATAAATGCATACAACAAAATTTATCAAAACTATTTAGAGAATAGATAGATACATGCAAAGTGGGTAAATGTGATATTTATTACTAATATGTAAGCCCGAATTCATTAAAGAATCTACGAGTTATAAACCAAACTTAGTTTACGGTTGACAAAATATACTACAAGAACCAAAAAATTACAATAATCTGACTGTTGTAACCCAAGAATATTAATCTAACAACGAACCCAACTTGAGTAACAGGCTACTAAACACCTAGATCCACATAAAAAAGCCTATATGCTGCCAAATATAACGAACTAATTTCTATAAAATCTAATGCGCAAGACATAAAACTATTAAGATATATTAATAAATTAAACGGCAATAAAAGGCTCTTCATTACGTAAACTTATGTCTTCGTTGTTCTTTTTAGTCTTTTTTGGTTAACAATTTCAGATATTTAAACTTATATACAACTAACATAATAATGAGTAAGTAATGAGTAGTAAAATATTCACTTCTAAGTGAAGTTCTCCAGATTCTTGATTATTTGTTGATTATTTTTACATAAGAACGTTGACATTCTTCCGCACATATATAATTTTCAGGCCTGTAGATTTGACGGCGAGTCAATACACCAATTTTACTTAGCATCAAGCATACAGCTAGCCAGTCGGATTTCTAGCTTGGGCATGCGCAGGTCTTGCAAAATAACATATTTTTTCTGGCCTACACGATAATACACTGCCTGATTCGAACCTATCCGTACGGACTTTCTATTTAAATAAGTCTGTTGCAGTCTTTTATCAGACCCAGTTCATAAAAAATTTATATGATCGAAGTCTGGTTTCCCTTGGCGTCACTCACTCTTATAAGTATTTTTTAATGCGCATTATTATTGTGATGACTAAAATTTCAAAACCTTTGAAATAAATGTTAATCCATTCATTGCAATTTTCGGAACATTACACAAATTCTCTTTAAATATTGAAATGAGAGTAAATTGATCAAAATCCAAGAAATATTTATGTTTCCCGTGTATTAAATTGTTAAACGCATTAAATCTATTTTTCATATTGTTATTAATTAACATTAAAAATATTCTCAATGTAATTCTCTTGATATGTCGGGCTAATAAAATTTCCTCACCCATTAGCCCATTAGGATTAGGTAATTGAGGTTTATAATCAGGTGTAAAGATTTTTATTTCATTGGTAAAAAAATATATGCTTACATATTCGATTATTCCATTTTCTGTCAATGTCTAAAAAAAATTAGCTTTGTTAATATATAATTAGTTAATTTAATTTTTAATTATGTTAATTTAATTTTTTAATTATGTTAATTTAATTTTTTAATTATGTTAATTTAATTTTTTAATCATGTTAATTTAATTTTTTAATCATGTTAATTTAATTTTTTAATCATGACAATTTATAATTAAAAACTGCGGGGCATTTTATACATGGGTGTCTAAAATATGAATATGTTTTTAATATTTTCGCCATGGTGCTTCAAAATACAGTCTGGCGAAATTAGTTTCACCTGGCAGAATTCCGAAATTATTTTTGCCAGAGAAATTAATTTTTATTTATTTGACAAAATTATTTTCATCTGTCGAAATTCCGTTTTTTTTTTTTGCTGAAATTATTTTCGTCCACTGAAATTGTTAAAGACAGTTGATATTATATGTATGAATTAGGGATGGGAGATATAATAATTTAGATAACCAATATGAATTTTTTAGCCGTTACCCATTCTTAAATTCATTAACTATTTCCTATTACATACGACTTATTATGATTCACATGAGTCACATACGTATACAACTTGGAAGCATAATAATTCTGAATTTTAAATTCTGCCGATCAAGGCTGCTTTTGCAAAACTATTCTCCAATCCCAAATTCCAGATCCCAATGTATTATGTTTGGGACGATTTAAGATTGAGACAATTTTATTATGTTTGGCATTTGGGTAGGACTTTGTAAGCTAGCCGCTTTCCAACCCTATAGGAAAACTATATTAACTTTGACAATTTTTATTATTAAATTTGCTATTTTTTATACCCTTTAGCACAATTTAGCTCTTAAATATTTTCGTCAATTTCAGCATACTAAAATATTTTCGCCATATTAAAATAATTTTGACGTACTAAATTATTTACGTTTTAGATAGTCAAAAATAATCTCTGTAGTCTAGATTTACGCCAAGAGCAAAATAATTTAGACACCCATGTAGAGGGCATCTGATGCGGTTAGACTATATTTAATAATAAAAATATTTGATTTTTCTATTTAATTAATAAAAAATTCTATTGTCTCATTCATCTATCGATAATAAAAATAACAATTTATTCCTAAAAATAGATCACTTCAAAAATAAAGAATAATTTTCTAAAATTAC